ATATTTTTTTTCGATTTCAATTCATTATTAGTTTGAGAGTTTGGAAACTTGTTTTTTTTTTTTTTTTTCTTAAACCGACGATTGGATTTAACTTGTTGAAAAGTGATTTCACGATTCTATTATCTTTCGCATTTTCTTTTAAAATCTAAATTCTCCAACTCGAAGTGCAAGTTACTGAATTCATTTTATTTGCGTATAATAAGAAAATTGCGTTCTTGAGAAGATATTTAGGGGAAAAAAATTGTCAAATTAAAAAAAAAATTTATCTTTTTTTAATAAAAATTATTTTTCATACTTTTGTTTTTAATTTTTTATTTATTTTTTTGGTGTAGAATAAATGTTTTATTTCATCTATAAATAAACAAAATTTGATTATTTTTTATTCAGGATTATTTTTTTCATTAGAAACTTTTTTTGTCCCAAATATTTCTTTTTGTAGAAATTGTTCACAATTTTCAAAGCTTTTTTATTAAAAATAATTTATAAAAAAAAAAATTTTAATTTGTTTCTTTTTTTATAAGAAAAACTTTTATTGAAAAAAAAATACAATTTTTATTTGTAAATAATTAAATAAAAAATTTATTTTGGACAACCTAAGTTTGAAAATTTGTTCGTAAACAATTTACAATATTATAATAAGTAAAAGCATTTGTAGAATAACAGTTTTTTCTAGTAAACATTTTTTTTAATTGAAAAATTAATTTTTAAAAAAGTAGTTTGAAAAATAAATTGTTTTTAAAATTTTAATTATACTTAATAAACTTTTTCACCAGCGCAGATACTTATCGACTGTCTTTTTCAACTTTTTAAATTTTATATGGTCGGAACACTTAGTGGAAGTTTACTGTATATACTTTTTTATATTTCTTATAAAAATAAAAATAAAAAAAATTCCTTAGTGAAACCTTATAAAATTCCATTTGCTTTACGTATTAGGTGAAAGTTATTTATATAAGGAGAGAGTGTGTGTGAGAGAGAAAGAGAATAAAATGCTTTAACATCTTTTTTAGCAGTTCTAATATGGGTGCATGCTCACTGTATTCTCGTATTTATTGAAAACTTTAGTAGGGCAATCCCATGCTTTTCATCCACTTCAGTATACTTGCGTCCCGTCCGCAAGCGTGTCGAATTCAAGGAGAAATTTTATCGTAAAGCAATTGATTGTGAAAAACTTAAGCGTACTTGAGAAAGCTTCACGTCAAACTTTTTCTTAACACCTGCGTCGTTTTTCAAAACGGCACATATACACATACTTATTTGAAAAAAAGTTTGTCCAAGAAAGATTTTGCACTTTCACACACACACATATATATATATATATATATATATACATATGTAGATATATTCAAATATTTTCCCTTCATATTATGCTTAAATACTTTCAGTTTCGACATTGTCTTGTATTACCTTCAAATTTATCTTCCAACTGAAAACATTTTTTTATGTTAAAGTTTTTTTATTTTTATTTTAAAATAACATTTTTTTATTTTTTTCATTTATTTTAAAGTCAAAAATGCGAAAGCATTTTTAATACATATATATACAAATAAATTTAATACATTAAATAAATAAATATATACAAAACCTATATATAAAAAATTTGTATTTTACATTTGTCATTAAAAAAAGTTTTTTATTATTTATTTTTTATTTATTTTTAAGTAGTATTTTATTTTTATAGAAGTTTTTTAATTTGTACAGGGCTGCCACAAATCAGGGAAATGTCAGGGAATTTTTTTCAAAAATATACTGTCGAAATATCAAATTTCTAGAATTACTAAAAAAATTCTGGTTTTTGGTGTTCAAAAATAATTTGGAAAAATTTAAAAATCTTGAATTCATCTTCGATTTTTTTCACCTATACACTTTTGATTGACAATGAATTTGCAAATATTCTTGATTTTTTTATTTCTGTAAATAATTAAATTTATTTTAAATAATTACCTAAATTCTAGAAAACATTGTTTAAAATACAATTTTTTTAAATTAAAAAAAATTTTTTTTTTTATTCTTAATTTCTATTTATATTAGAAAACATTCTCATTAAAAGGTAGTGTATTTATTTAGAAATAAATAAATGTTTTAAACTAAAATCTTTGAAAATTTTAATTGTTACGAAGAAATGAATAATAATTAAATATTTATTTTTTAAAAATGATTTCATAGTTTTAAATAATTATTATTTAGAATTATAAAGAAATTAGGTTTCTGGGAAATTTTATTTACTTTTTTTCTCAAAAAACTTCAATTTTTAAAATAATTTTATTAGAGAATTGTTAAATTTATTAATGAAAATTTTGTAAAACTGAATTGAAAATCATTAAATTTGTTAGAGAATTTCATTAAAGATTGGAAAAAAATTGAATTTTCAAGGAATTTTAATCTAATAATAAGTTAATTTTAAAAAGATTTAAATTAAAAGAAATTTTTTTTAAAAAGCTCTCAAAAGTTTAATTTGAAATTAAGTTTTAAAAATTTTTAATTCTATTTTTGAAAGATAATTGAAAATTTATAAATAAATAATTGAAAAATTTTGAAATAGGTACTTTAAATTTTTTAAAATTACAATTTTTAATATACATATTTAAAATAATTGAATTTTTTAAAGAATTTTATTAAAATTTTTGAAAGTTATCTTGAAATCAGAAAAAAGCCAAGGAAAAACAAAATCAAATTTTCCTTAAGTTTTTGAACGATTAATTAAATAAATTTTTTTATATTGAAATATTTTCCAAAATTAACATTCTAAAATAAAAAAAGAATGTTAATTGTATAGATTTACTTAAAGAATTAATTTTTCCAGTATACAAAACGATTTTTACTAATTATTATTTTTATTTATTTTTTAAATAATTTTTTGTTACTCTAGAATTTTTCTTAATTTGTACAATACCGAAAATTTGTAACTTTCAAATGAACGAAATATTTTTATAATTCAAAACATATTTTAAACAAATTTTAATTTTTTAGGGTTTGCCAACTTTAATGAAAATTAAAAATGTTAATTAAAATTTTTTTAATAAATTACTTTTTTATACTCAACGTAAAATAGTTTTAGTCTAAGTGAACGAACTTTTTTCTGTTATGAATTAATTGGTTTCATTTACAAAATTATTGTTTATAAACAAACAAATTCAATTTTAAAGAAAATAAATTAAATAAAATAAAAATATTGCCGTCAGAAACTGCAGGAAAATTTTTTAATTAAAAAATTCTAATTCATGAGAGGAATTGAACCCCAATGCTTGCAGTCGCGAGTGTAGCAGTAAATCCACGCAGCCATCTCACTTCTTGTATCACTAGTTTAATTATTTACTTATTTATCTATTTATTTATCAATTTATTTTTTTTGACTGGATATAATTAAATTTTAAACTAAGTTCCTCATTAATCTTCCAAAGTATGCAAATTAAATATAATTTTCTATATTATTTAATTCAGAAGATTTAATGACAATGAAGGTATAACTATTGCAAGAAGTGGAAAATAGAGTAGCTAAATTTAGTTTTTATTACATAAGTCAGTTATGTATTTTGTTATATATATAGAACATACTGGAACAAAAGAAAATTACTGGAAGTGCTCCAAAATCATAACTTTTGTCTTTTTAGAGACTATTGTAACTTATCTTTTAATCCTGAAATTTATCCTTCCGTTATTTCTGGTTTCCGCCTGGATAAAAAGAAATTAAAAGAAAGAAGTGGAAGTGAAGTTGTGTGAAAGGGTTTTTTCTTATATTGTGTTTGTGTCTCTTGTTCGTTTCTGATCTTGTATTTCGATTTTTTTTGTCTGTTAATTAAAAAAAGCCTACAAGTTAAAAAAGTTTTTTACTTAATTTAAAAAAAAAAATATTATTTTTTATATATTTATTTAAAAAAAATTTTTTTTTTACAAACTATTAATATTATTATTATTATTATTATTATTATTATTTACTAATTAATACATATTACTACAGTTATTAAAATATTGTTCCATTCTTATGTGTAATTATTATATTAATTACTATTATTAGTTAATTATTAATATTAATCATCAATTATTATTTTATTAATTAATAATTATTCATTAATAATAATTCATTTATTTATAATTATTAATTTTATTCAATTATTTAATCAACTGAATAAATAATTAATAAATTTTCTAAGTCGAAAAATAATAAGAATATATATAAAAAAATTTGCAATAACATTAAGAAAAGAAATAATAAATAATAATTCCCTGTCACATATAATTAACAAAAAAAAAAAAATATATAGGCCATTGACTAACTATTCTATTTCTATTTATGTTTCAGGCCTCGGTTGTAATAAAAAAAAGGAAGAGAGAAAAAAAGAATGGAATCTCGGAAATAACGAAAAAAAAATGTAATACACACACAAACCTGCAGATTGCAATTCTTCTTCAGAGTGCCAAATCGAACTTGCGGGAAGCAATAAAAGCTGAAAGTCGTAAAGAGCTTCTGCTTCTCGTTATTCGTATGTCGTAAAAACGTAACATTGTGAACTCAAATATGAACTCATTAAAATTTAAAGGCTCGTAATAGGAAATTGTCGAGCGCAAATTTATTGCAATAAACCAAAACATTTTCAAAGCGCAGAAAATTCAACCCCAACCCCACTACCGCCCCTCTTTTTCTCTTTACACTCTCTGCATTACAGTGATAATTTAATTTTTTTCACAATTAAAAATTGAACATTCCTTTTTATAGATTTCAAATTTTTTTTGCGAACCGGGGAAAATTAACGTAGAAGAAAATATTTGAAAATTTAAATAAATAAAATATTGGAACAGAAAAATATTGAAACAGAAAAATATTGAACCAGAAAAATATTGAAACAATAAAATAATGAAATATTAACATAGTAAATATTAAAAAATTATATATTAAAAAAATTAAATATTAAAAAATTAAAAATTAAATATTAAATATTAAAATATTAAAATATTGAAATATTGAAACGTTCAATTAATGAATGAAAATAAAAAATAATGAAATATTAAAATATTGAAACACTAAAATGTTGAAATATTAAAATACTGAAACATTAAAGTATTGGGAATATTAAAATATTTTTTTATTAAATTCTCCCAAACGGCTCAATGTAACGTAAAATGAGAGAATATAAAAAACAAGTTTGAAAATATAGATGTAAAATAAACAACTGAAGAATAGAATTAAAAAATTAAAAATAATGAAAGAGTAACGAAAAATATATATATAGAGAGAGAAGAATGTATGAAAATAGAGACTTGTTTGAAACGATAGTAAAAGAACAATAAAAAAATGACCCCCGGGGGAAATTTGTTAAAATTACAAGGTGAATAATAAAATTGTGCAATAAAAACCAAAGAAAGAAAAAATGCGTTGGAAACAATTAACTAACTAATGAATTTAATTAAATGAAAAGTAATAAATTCAAGTGTTATATATATGAAAATGTGAGTGAGTTTTAATGTTTCTCATAGTGTTATTGAGTGAGCAAGACGTTGACGATGAAGATGGTGAGGAAGTGTCTAATGAAAATAAAGAAAGATAACAATGCTTATTGTTAATTAAAAAGAGAGAGAGTGAGAGAGAGAGAGGAGAGTGGGAGGAAGGGGTTAGTGACGAGATTGTAAATGTCTCGTGTGTGCGATTTTCTGAACGAGTTTGCATATCATGTTGACGGCCGAGGGTAATTTGAGCTGGACGAGCGACCTGAGTGCAATATTGCATCAGGTGTCTTGCAACAGTACCTTTCTGGGCTGTATGGAAGAGTGCGGAACGACAGTGACTGGCTACGATCATTTTTGCACTGCTGAACCCTCTTCGACAATGACATCGTCATCGACCCTCTTTTGCAGACCTTGTGATTTTACTGGTTGCGACTTGAACGTTTCTCTGGTCTTAAGAGGTCTGGAGAGTATAGAAGGTGCTTTCCTCTCAAAAATTCCGAGATTTCGAGATTGCAATTCCACCATTTTCGGTCAGGTGAGTTTTGTTTTATGCAATTTCAAGAATTCTTATTTTTTAGATTTGTATTTTTAACAGGGACCGAGGGGGTAATTACTGATTAAAATAGTGTACACTCTAATATACTAAATTTTCCTGCTATTACGCGCTTTATCCAGTATTACAGGGTATTACACAACTATAACAGGGTATTATTGATTATTACAGAATATTACATCTATATTATGTGGTATTACACTGACGTAATAAAGCTTTATTACGTGACTATTACGTGAGGAGCGTACACGCTAATACACAAGTAAATACCCCCTCGACAGGGACTTTCACGAAAAATTCGTGTCGTGTACGTGTCGTGCCTTAACACGACACAAAGTACACATGGTAATTCGTGTCGTGTCCTGACACGACAAAAGTTCGCTTGGTAATTCGTGTCGTGCCTTGACACGACACAAATAACGCTTGCAAGAATCTACACCGTGTTTCATGCGTGTCCTTAAAACGGTATCTTGACACGACACGAATTACCATGTGAACTTTGTGTCGTGTCAAGGCACGACACGGACACACAAATTTTCGTGTTTTTTCGTGTCCGTGTCGGTCCCTGATTTTTAATAATATTATATTTTAATATTGCGATATTCCGGAAGTTACCGCCGATGCTCAGCGTCAAAAAATATTATTTAAGAATTTTTGAGACGAACATGTCACTAATTTCGGTGCCGTAAAACTAGCGAACCGCCAGACGCTTGACAAATCCATAGGCGTCGCAACTTAATAATATGACATGACCCATTCTTCATTCTTTCTTTTTCGTGATAAATTCTTTTACTATAGAGTTGAATATGTACATTCTACGAACATAATTTAACATATAAATTAATTTTTTATTAACAAATAAATTTTTTAAACTCTTAGCTTCGCAAAACTCGAAAATTCCATTGTCTGCTAATTGGCGGATGGAGTATTTTGACTAGTAGTTTTGCCAAAATTATTTTACTAAAGAAAATTCTTATAAATAAACATTAGATGTTTATTTACAAGAATTTTTATTTGTTAAATAATTTTGGTAAAATTACTAGTCAAAATACTCCATCCGCCAATTAGCAGACAATCGAATTTTCCAGTTTTGCAAAGCTAAGAGTTTTAAAAAATTCAATTGTTAATAAACAATTGATTTTGTTGCTGCCTATTGTTCATTAGATGTATATTTACAAGAATTTTTATTTGTTAAATAATTTTTGTAAAATTATTAGTCAAAATACTCCATCCGCCAATTAGCAGACAATCGAATTTTCGAGTTTTGCAAAGCTAAGAGTTTTAAAAAATTCAATTGTTAATAAACAATTGATTTTGTTGTTGCCCATTGTTCATTAGATGTTTATTTACAAGAATTTTTATTTGTTAAATAATTTTTGTAAAATTACTAGTCAAAATACTCCATCCGCCAATTAGCAGACAATCGAATTTTCGAGTTTTCGAAGCTAAGAGCTTAAAAAAATTTATTTGTTAATAAACAATTGATTTTGTGGTTGCCCATTGTTCATTAGATGTTTATTTACAAGAATTTCCTTCGGTAAAATAATTTTGGCAAAATTACTAGTCAAAATACTCCATCCGCCAATTAGCAGACAATCGAATTTTCGAAGCTAAGAGCTTAAAAAAATTTATTTGTTAATAAACAATTGATTTTGTTGCTGCCTATTGTTCATTAGATGTATATTTACAAGAATTTTTATTTGTTAAATAATTTTGGTAAAATTACTAGTCAAAATACTCCATCCGCCAATTGGCAGACAATCGAATTTTCGAGTTTTCAAAGCTAAGAGTTAAAAAGAATTTATTTGTTAATAAACAATTGATTTTGTTGTTGCCCATTGTTCATTAGATGCATATTTACAAGAATTTTTATTTGTTAAATAATTTTGGTAAAATTACTAGTCAAAATACTCCATCCGCCAATTAGCAGACAATCGAATTTTCGAGTTTTCGAAGCTAAGAGCTTAAAAAAATTTATTTGTTAATAAACAATTGATTTTGTGGTTGCCCATTGTTCATTAGATGTTTATTTACAAGAATTTCCTTCGGTAAAATAATTTTGGCAAAATTACTAGTCAAAATACTCCATCCGCCAATTAGCAGACAATCGAATTTTCGAAGCTAAGAGCTTAAAAAAATTTATTTGTTAATAAACAATTGATTTTGTTGCTGCCTATTGTTCATTAGATGTATATTTACAAGAATTTTTATTTGTTAAATAATTTTGGTAAAATTACTAGTCAAAATACTCCATCCGCCAATTGGCAGACAATCGAATTTTCGAGTTTTCAAAGCTAAGAGTTAAAAAGAATTTATTTGTTAATAAACAATTGATTTTGTTGTTGCCCATTGTTCATTAGATGCATATTTACAAGAATTTTTATTTGTTAAATAATTTTGGTAAAATTACTAGTCAAAATACTCCATCCGCCAATTAGCAGACAATCGAATTTTCGAGTTTTGCAAAGCTAAGAGCTTTAAAAAATTCAATTGTTAATAAACAATTGATTTTGTTGTTGCCCATTGTTCATTAGATGCATATTTACAAGAATTTTTATTTGTTAAATAATTTTGGTAAAATTACTAGTCAAAATACTCCATCCGCCAATTAGCAGACAATCGAATTTTCGAGTTTTCGAAGCTAAGAGCTTAAAAAAATTTATTTGCTAATAAACAATTGATTTTGTTGCTGCCTATTGTTCATTAGATGTTTATTTACAAGAATTTTTATTTGTTAAATAATTTTTGTAAAATTACTAGTCAAAATACTCCATCCGCCAATTAGCAGACAATCGAATTTTCGAGTTTTCGAAGCTAAGAGCTTAAAAAAATTTATTTGTTAATAAACAATTGATTTTGTGGTTGCCCATTGTTCATTAGATGTTTATTTACAAGAATTTCTTCTAGTAAAATAATTTTGGCAAAATAACTAGTCAAAATACTCCATCCGCCAATTAGCAGACAATGAAATTTTCATGTTTTCGAAGCTAAGAGCTTAAAAAAATTTATTTGTTAATAAACAATTGATTTTGTTGCTGCCTATTGTTGATTAGATGTATATTTACAAGAATTTTTATTTGTTAAATAATTTTAGTAAAATTACTAGTCAAAATACTCCATCCGCCAATTAGCAGACAATCGAATTTTCGAGTTTTCGAAGCTAAGAGCTTAAAAAAATTTATTTGTTAATAAACAATTGATTTTGTTGTTGCCCATTGTTTATTAGATGTTTATTTACAAGAATTTCTTCTAGTAAAATAATTTTGGCAAAATAACTAGTCAAAATACTCCATCCGCCAATTAGCAGACAATCGAGTTTTTAAGTTTTCGAAGCTAAGAGCTTAAAAAAATTTATTTGTTAATAAACAATTGATTTTGTTGCTGCCTACTGTTCATTAGATGTATATTTACAAGAATTTCCTTCAGTAAAATAATTTTGGCAAAATAACTAGTCAAAATACTCCATCCGCCAATTAGCAGACAATCGAGTTTTTGAGTTTTCGAAGCTAAGAGCTTAAAAAAATTTATTTGTTAATAAACAATTGATTTTGTGGTTGCCCATTGTTCATTAGATGTTTATTTACAAGAATTTTCTTCGGTAAAATAATTTTGGCAAAGTAACTAGTCAAAATACTCCATCCGCCAATTAGCAGACAATCGAATTTTCCAGTTTTGCAAAGCTAAGAGCTTTAAAAAATTCAATTGTTAATAAACAATTGATTTTGTTGTTGCCCATTGTTCATTAGATGTTAATTTACAAAAATTTCCTCCAGTAAAATAATTTTGGCAAAATTACTAGTCAAAATACTCCATCCGCCAATTAGCAGACAATCGAGTTTTAGAGTTTTCGAAGCTAAGAGCTTAAAAAAATTTATTTGTTAATAAACAATTCATTTTGTTGCTGCTTATTGTTCATTAGATGTATATTTACAAGAATTTTTATTTGTTAAATAATTTTGGTAAAATTACTAGTCAAAATACTCCATCCGCCAATTAGCAGACAATCGAAATTTCGAGTTTTGCAAAGCTAAGAGCTTTAAAAAATTCAATTGTTAATAAACAATTGATTTTGTTGTTGCCCATTGTTCATTAGATGTTAATTTACAAAAATTTCCTCCAGTAAAATAATTTTGGCAAAATTACTAGTCAAAATACTCCATCCGCCAATTAGCAGACAATCAAGTTTTTGAGTTTTCGAAGCTAAGAGCTTAAAAAAATTTATTTGTTAATAAACAATTGATTTTGTTGTTGCCCATTGTTCATTAGATGCATATTTACAAGAATTTTTATTTGTTAAATAATTTTGGTAAAATTACTAGTCAAAATACTCCATCCGCCAATTAGCAGACAATCGATTTTTCAAGTTTTGCAAAGCTAAGAGCTTTAAAAAAATCAATTGGTAATAAACAATTGATTTTGTTGCTGCCTATTGTTCATTAGATGTATATTTACAAGAATTTTTATTTGTTAAATAATTTTGGCAAAATTACTAGTCAAAATACTCCATCCGCCAATTAGCAGACAATCGAATTTTCGAGTTTTGCAAAGCTAAGAGCTTTAAAAAATTCAATTGTAAAGAAACAATTGATTTTATTGTTGCCCATTGTTCATTAGATGTTTATTTACAAGAATTTCCTCCAGTAAAATAATTTTGGCAAAATTACTAGTCAAAATACTCCATCCGCCATTTAGCAGACAATCGAATTTTCCAGTTTTGCAAAGCTAAGAGCTTTAAAAAATTCAATTGTTAATAAACAATTGATTTTGTTGTTGCCCATTGTTCATTACATGTTAATTTACAAGAATTTCCTCCAGTAAAATAATTTTGGCAAAATTACTAGTCAAAATACTCCATCCGCCAATTAGCAGACAATCGAGTTTTTGAGTTTTCGAAGCTAAATGCTTAAAAAAATTTATTTGTTAATAAACTATTGATTTTGTTGTTGCCCATTGTTCATCAGATGTTTATTTACAAGAATTTT